AAATCTCTTATCTGTATACCCTGCGCCCTTTCTTACCCAGTCTTGACAAATCTCTTATCTGCTCCTTAATCTGGTTGTACTCGTTTTGGAGTTGTTCAAACGTGTTGAAGTCGGTTTCGATTGACGGCTGAGTTACTTTGCAGCCCGCAATGGCCTGCAGAACAGTTGAACCAAAMGCTACTCCATAAGAACCAAAGGTAATCCCTTTCAGAAGCTTTGATCCAATAAACTTTACACCTGCAATGAATCTTTTTTCTCCACGGGCTTCCTCTATGTCTGAAACAACATGACCTCCGTGAACAAACACTGGAAAATCATAAATGTACATTAAAAACAACAAAAGCTCATTGATATAACCATCCTTCTCGTTAATAGATCCCTTAGAACTATCGGAAGCTTTTACGTCATATGTATACCGTAACGCTATGAAATGTGGGATATGTTTGTAAAAAAAACATGGCGGATTTCTTCTCTTTTCTCCAGAATCTGATGCATTGCAAATCAAGTAAATTGCGTAAAATCTGTAGAAGACTATAGATTTCGATAGACCGTTGATATTAAAAAGTTCTATTTTTAATAACCAATCAAAACACCCGCAAATATAATRAGGCACCTGATTGGATAAAAATCCTAATTTCTTCTCCTATTTTCTGCTACAGAGACAAGAAAACATAATTTAGCTCGATGGATGCGAAAAAGTGTTTGGATGATTAGAATATTCTTCCCTCTGTTTCCAGTCTCCTTCGCAGCCTACCATTTTGTCGGGCTTCCTGGAGCCTGTCAAAAGGGGAGKCTGCGAAGGAGACTACTCTGTTTCACAAGTTGTTCTATTTATGCTTATGACTGGCAGCCATTTTGGCAGTGCTTCTATTGGAAACTAACTCTTACTGGCAAATGACAAGAATAAATAAAACAAASACAGTGGAGAACAAACAGAGATTGCTAGTCTCTTTCTTTCGTGATCTTATTAAAACAATTTGGGACAAAGACACGTTCCTCACCTTCGTTGTCGTTGCTGTCGTTATGAAGCGGKRTGTGTTTGTGCTTGTTTCTCTGAACATGAGCGGTGAAGACAAAGCCAAATTGTTGCAGCAAGAGGCACATAGAAAGAAGTATAACCCATCTCTGAGTTGAACTACCCATGGCTTTAACTAACCTTACAATTGCCAAAATATTCCATTAAATAAACAAATTGAAACGCCACCAGTTTGTGGGGATTTTTAGGACATCTGACATCGGGTTACATATTCGCACATTTCATCAACATTGAATTCAAATCTAATAGAAACCTTAATTTAAAAAATTCATTTTTGCCCTTAAACGAGGAAAGTACTTTATGCAAAAATAAATAAATAAATAAATTGAGAAATGTATGAAAAACGTGCAATTGCCCAAACGATATGCTTCTACACCTACCTTTAGTAGTGAATGGCTATTCAATTGGAAGGAACAGTGAATTTATGCACTGCACGAAATAGAAATCTAATTGAAGTCAAAAGGCGTGAAATAAAGAAGAGAATTCTCCACCCACACCTGTTGATCAATTAAACCAAATAAGCACTGTGCTATCGAAATCATCTGTAACTTTCTTTGAATAAAGATCTTTCGTTTTCTTTTTTATTTTCATCCTGTTTTATAATTACGGTGATATAACAATCATTGATAGAATTTARAATTGTGTAAATTAGTATTGTGTAACACTAGCACCTGTCGGTGGGCGTTGTTTGGTGCAATTAAATCTTCAATTTAACTGGTAAGATGTCTGATTCGAGTTCATCAAAAGATTTGCATTAATTGCTTTTTGGTGACGTTTCGAGTTAAACTTTATTGGTTGATCACCTCTGTGATCCAGGGTCAATCGCATTTCATTTATGATGACTCTTACTGGATGTTTCTCTTTCTTTGTTAAACGCAAACTGTGTGGTGAATTGTCAATAAAAGAARAAGTATATAGAAACAAGACCGCAATTAATCGGTCCAGCGATTTTTTGATTCCAAGTCAAATAAAAGCCTARACACCCTGTCACTGCAGATATTACTATATGGCGACAAAACAAAAAGAGTCATTGTGTTGATACTGTTGGATCTTCACCTATAAAAATGGAGTTTGAAGAAGAATACTTAGTGCTTCAAAATGTAAATGTGTGATAGTTTTCAGTCGATCTTGAAATGAAAATGRCTATATAAGTATTTGATTGTCAAGAACAAAAGAAAATAATAGATWAATTAGAGTTTGAATACGACCATTAGTCTTACTAGTCTTTTACTTGAATCAATATCAAGAATAAAGGATCTAAGTTCGACGTCTTGTTTGCAGTCCTTTTTTATGGTCTGCAGTCTTCATGGCTGTTATGCTGGTTGATTGCGAACAAGGAATTATTATGCGGGTTGATTCAAGACACGTGCTGTGCAAAAGGTTGATCATTCAATAAGTGCATTGACTATTGGGGCAAAATATAGTTTTAATGGTTGGGAGAACAGACGATTCGATAACCTGCCAGGAGGTTTGGTTAAACAAAATTAAATGCAATCATGGGACGACGGGTACATAAATACCTGTTTGATTCACTTACTGTGCATGTACTGTGACATTAGTGCGATACGCTCATTCCTTTGATAGCAATAGGACTAAAAACTTCTCGCGTCATGCGAACTTTGCATTTGACGTTAAAATATATAATTGTTCTAATTATGAAAATAGCAATTTGAAGATTTTTTGATTGACCATACCCGTCATGCAAATCAACGATTTCTGATTCACTTCCAATAATGTTGTTATTGTATATATCTTTGTATAAATAAAATGCTTCATTCTATTGACCTGTATAAAGAAAAAAAACTAATCATGGAAGCTTGACGAAGCTAAACTGAGTCAATATTATAAGTAGATGTACCCGTGGGGGGGGGGGGGGGGGGGGGGTACTCCCCTATATTCGCTATACGAACGTGCCGCCAACCAGAGATTTTTCTGTAGAACAGTATATCGTTTTAGCGATTTTACTCTGGAACAGGGTATCGATTTCAGCGAACTTTCTCTGGAACAGGGTCAGGGTTTAATTCCGGAATTATCGATGCTGGGTAAAAATWCACCGGGTAAAAATTCGGTCTACACGCAGGCTAGTGCTGTATTTTACTCTGAAWYAGGCTATCGTTTTCAGCGATTTTACTCTGGAACAGGGTATAGTTTTCAGCGACWTCACTYTKGGACAGGTCAGGGTTTTGAGGTCCCACCTGCTTTGCTCGCGGTCACTGAAGGAATATCGTTAATTAGCTTATGGACGAACATGACCTCATGTAATTTGTCATTTTAATATATTTGCTTTGCGCCGTCATTTGTTTTGAAAKGTTTTCAGGTAATTAAAGTGATCTTGCAATGTTTGATCAGTCCGCTTCCACTAGTTTTTGAAAGTCTCACTATCTTAATGCTGTCTATAGTTCGCTTTAAAACCATCAAGTTACAAAATGTTTTCGCTTGTTTTTCGAAAATAAGCATTTCATATTATGAATCAAATCATAACTGTACAACAAGTATTTTGAAAAGTTAATTAACCAAAATCTGTAATAGATTACTTATTAAAAATCAATGAGTCATGTCATTTTGYCTTCGAAAAGGTTAACAAAAATTCTGTTGTTAAACATTACCTTGCATGGAACTTCAAAACATTGAATAACGCTGACAAAGTTATGAAGCTCAGTATATATCAACTGACACCATGTACAAAATTTAATGAAAAAATAAATACTTTTTCTAAAGTTAACTTTAGAAAAAAATGACACTAAAAAAATTGTTGTRTTAAAAGATAAACACCATAAAAAAGTAGGGGAAGTAACGGACGTTAATTCTTCGTCGGAGTAAAAGTGTAATTAATTAACGTCCCAAACGTCAGTAAGTTACTTCTSCGAACCTACTTTTTTACGGTGTTTAATTTATCTTTTTACACAAATGTTTCTTTAGAAACACCGACGCAGCTCACACTAGTTTACCACTAGTTCCCACCATTTTGACTAAAAAAATTGATCAAGAATTCATACTAGATTACGTATTAACTATTATTACAAATAAATACAATAGACATTTAGATTAGTTCAAAATGCACTGTTTTTACAATCAGACCAAGAGGATTAGGGTTAGGGTTATGTTCGTGTAGTCTACTAGTTGATAGGTCATGTGTTCGTTGTTAGAGTCATTTTCATACATCTGTGAAACAATTACTATTAGAACTATTACAAATTCTGATGGAAATGGTGTTTTGGTAGTCAAAGTCCCATGCTAAAAAGCCGTACGTATCTCACAAAAGTTTCCGTGGAAGCGAGCGAGAAACTCCTCTTCTGCTTTATTTTGAGCTTCACTCAGTAAAGGAAAATTAACGCCGCTGCTGTTTCTTGTCAAGTACTCCTCCGTTTTCATATTGAATAGCCAAATAGCTTAGCTTTGAGAGCAAGAATTCTTTCGATAACAAGTTATTTACTGATTTTTTTTTAGTCATTTCATTTTTGAGTCATTTCATTGTCTTGATTTTTAGTTTAGCCTTAAAGTTTAGTTTAGCAATAAACTCGTTAGAAAACACGTTCATTTGTCTAGTTGGTCTTGATACTGGTTATTTTTTACTTTACCCTTACTACAATGTTTTCTGTCATGATTTTGATCCTGCGCAGATATCTAAGACTCTAAAATGCAATTCCAGTGCGTACTGTGAAGTTATTTTAGTTTTAGATGTATCTTTGTGTCTCGATTTTGCAGGCGCAGCGCAAATAAATAAAGGTTCTTAAACTTCTTGTGTATTGTAGTTATTTTAGATTTAATTGTGTTTTTGTCGTTTTTGTWCCAGCAGAACAAAGGAATAAATGCTCTGAAATGATTTTACTTGCGTTTTTGTTAATTTAGCTTTAGCTGTGTCTTGATTTTGTACTAACGCAAAAATGAATGGGCTTGAAAAAAAACACGAATCCATATAATTCCTCATGAATCCTTATGTCATTTCTAACTAAGCGCTAACTATTACTATCTATTTCACGGGTATATTATTTGCACTCTATAAAGCAAATTTGAATAAAGACCATTAGATATAAAGAACAATTTTCTCGACATTCGATGCGATCATGAATATACAAGTAGCCAATCAAGATGCTGGATTTGTAATAGCCCATGGTTTGTCGACTTTAATAGAAAATCTTAGATGACAAGATTTGAAGGTCTTCGRTTTCAAAATTCAATGGGTTACCTGTGGTCACCTGCGAAATTTCTGCCACTTTTAATGACTGTCAGTCAGAGATATCTTTTGATGATGACTTCCACGCAGGATTTCGAAACRTCTAGCCTGCGTACTGGCTCTAGGCGAAGGGAGACCCCCCTCTCCTTCCCTTTTCCCCCTTCTACCCTTCCCTAGAGCCGCTACACACGCTACGAAATGTCAGGTATCTTCCYCAAGACTTCTCACACCTGGACGATCATATCACACCTACATAGACATGCAGTATGTCGCAAGTGTAATGTTCTCCTTAATCATCCACTGTTTTTCAAGCTTCTTGTACTTTCCGTTAGCCACGTTACCTAAAAACGTCATATAAATGTTTATTTCCCATGAATTTCCCATTCAAATAGTACACCAAACTTGACGAGTGATTTACAGTAATGCAACAGTTGACTCAGTTTTCGCTGATTCTACTTTAATTTTACCGTCATGAATCATTGCGCGCTTTTCAAATTCTGCGCCAATAGTACAAACGTTCCCGGATGCAAGCCGTCTGATTGTGCACGACATAGACGGTGCAAACACGGACCCTTTATATGCTAGGCAATGGGTAGAGTGCAAATATGGACAACGTGAAAATTCAATAATCAAAATGTGCTAAACGARCTTTGATATTTACCCTTCCGGGCTAGAAACATGCGCAGCTGGTCTTAGTTGTTGTAAAAGTGGATCTCACTTAGACTAACTACGGCTGAACTGGTTTATTAAGCAATCGCCGGTCTGAGCACAGATCATTTAAAAACCAATAGATAGGTGTGATAGCTTCTTCTATTTCAAGTGATGGCCAGCGAAAAGAACTTGCTGCGAAACGTTGCGAACTGCAATAATGCCCTCAGCACGCCTATACAAACGGCCCACATATTCCTTGTTAATCTTGCCGTAAGCACCTCATATAGTACAACAACAGTAGTCAAAGAGAAGGGGCATCATGGCGTTGAACAATGCGACACAAACCTCTCGACGACTTAAACTGCACGCCTTCCGAAGCATGCCGAGGCGGGATGAAATTTTCTTGGTGCGATCAATGTGTTCATTCCCGGAGAGGTTTTTTCAAGAACAACGTTAAGATACTTCAACTCATAGACTACAGAAAAGGTCTCATTATTGGCAATAATACAAAAACTTTGACGTCTAGAAAGTCTTTGATTGGGTTCCAACAAGCATAACGTCCTTGTTAAGAACCTCCGATAAGGAAGATTCCATTTTAGACAATGAGATGTCACTTAAGCATTAAAGAGTGTCATCAGCGCAAGACTACAGATGTAAGTACGTGAGTTTGGCACCAGACGAACAGAAGAACGTGGGGGAAGCGAAACATCTTCAAAGGCAATGGTGCAAACTAATCTGAATTTCGAACAAATTGAAATTGCCTCATAGATTTTCATACATTTGTTTCAAGTTGCAAGATCATATAACAATAATCTACAGCACAAAGTTTCATAGGTTTTATGCCTGTGTTTTAATTCTCTTCATCTAATAAATTCTACAGTTGTCAAGATTGTCATTTCGCGCGGTTGTCCGATKCCATGGTAACTACTGATTACCTGTTGGTGAAAATAATAAACATGATTAAAACCAGCTACTAAATCTATTTATTTTGATGAAACAATCCTAAMAATGGCGGTAAATTTGCACATCAACCTAATTTTTCTTGGATATGTGCGACTTTTTGGAATGTGRCTACTTCCTTGCAAATTTATTGTTTTATATTCGACTGAGCTCGAAAAAACAAGAAGAGGTGTGGTTTGCAATGAGCAGCCTAATGTTCGTTCATCAAGCAAATAAAAAAAGTAATGCTTAGATAAAATATGCTTAGATTCGTTGTTATGAAAGAAAATATAAGGTGATTAGGAATGACGAGGGCGTGACACTTTTGAAAAATCATGGAGYGCCACAGTGTCTGGATTGARCGATTCAACATCAATGGGAGAATGGYAATTGCTTATTTTATACAAATATTAATTTGTGGTAAATCTTATAACGATCTCACCAATAATATCACTAGTTTTGTACTTACTACAGTCAAGGTCTTCTACCATTTGAGGTGTCAACGTCTGACCTTCTTCAAGTAAAAACTGCATTCTATCAGCAATTTCTTCTGGTGTCTTATTTCGATTTTTCAGTCTGCAGATCATATCAATTATATCAGATGGTAGTTGATTTTCTATATCTGGGTTTTCTTCTCGTATTTTTTCAACCATTTGCTGRATTTCTTCAATGCTATCTTGYCGTTTTTCTTGTCTTATAACCTSGTTGGCGATTTGTTGTGGATCTGTTACTTTTTGGCGCAATTGGTCTTTGACGTCTTCGACAACATCTTCGTTGTTCATTAAACAGATGGTACTATACTTGGTACCATTGCTAGTAGCCCACTCTTCCCATCCTTCTTTCATCTTATCTTCCTATAAAATAGCGTAGATTGATGTTAATGTAAACTGTAATCAAGAAGAAAATGAGTTGAGACGGTTCTTACTGCAATATAATTTTCTCCAGTTCTGTATTTACATCTCTTGTCAGGCTCAATGGGAAGACTTTCTAYATTATCTTTGTAGATCCATGGAAATGGTGAATCTCCTCTTGCACAGTCTGCCTTAACTGCACCGAACATATTTACTATGAAGATAACAATAGCTTTTCAAAATAGTAACCAACAATCAGTTGACCAATAATTGATTAATTGACCAGAATAATTGACGAAAGTGTATCGAATCTTTTCAATATACATAAGATCGCAAAAGAAATACGATTAAATCATTTCAGGTAATAACGAAAACGTTTTTGTCGAGTAGAAGACTTTAATTACACTAGGTTTTCTCTTTACGAAAGATTTAGATCTGCGCAATATTTATCAGTAAAAAATCAAAAAAGTTTTAAAATTACTACCCCCTCTTTTCAGTTTCCAAYTAAAGTTCCAGTAAATTGAAGACGATGCCCCCTCTTTAAACACATAAAATTAGATTTTTCCTGGAAAAAATATTCCGCAGGCCCTAATGTACGAAACGTCAGTAAGTTGTTTCACCTATTTTATACGGTGTTAAATTTATCTTTTCACGACTGTTTCTTTAGAAACATCGACGCAGCTCATACCAGTTTACCSCTAGTTCCTACAATTTTTACACTAGGCTGTGCATCGATTCATATGTTATTTTAATCTGACAATAACAATTATGATAGCAATATTGTTTATGATGATGATAAAGATGGTACATTGCATGGATTGCATTATTCAGTGCTCGTTAAGAATGCCTTACCCTTGTGTCGATAGCAACTTAATGTAACCCTCACAACACTCAGCTTTTGGTTCATTTCTCTCTGCGTGTCACTCAAAGTCTTTTGAGTACTCTTTTCCTTAGGATCCAATTCTTTTAAGCCAAGGTAGTTCTAGAAATAAGTGAAACATTCAAAACATTATAAATTACCGAGAGTGATTTCTTAGTTCAAATATATTTGRTTTAATGCCAAGTTTCCATATGATCGTTCAAATCGCGTATTTCTATTGCTCTAATTTCATCTCAAGGGATTCAACAACAATAAAAAAAATGCATTTGAATCGTGCGATTGGAACGGCGATTATATGGACACTATGAATAAGAATGCACATTGTGTGGGTTCATTTTCGTTGAGGAGTTGTGCCAGATATATTTAGCAGTTGAATACATTCGAAAAGCAACGTATGTTTGCGGACTCAAAACTGACTGAGTKTACAGTACTATACGGCACTTGAAACATGCATGGCCGGCTCTTGCCAGAACAAACTTGATGATTTTCAAAATTAAGAAACAGTTCGTCTATAAAGCAATATTTTACAAAAGTATTAGGCATTTAGGCTTATTTAGCAAGGGTAGAGTTTTCTGCAAGATGGTGRCTAAAGAACTTCAGTGATATTCTTATTTCTTAATTGTGCTTTATAGTGTCACGTATGAGTAAATTCCTCATTAACAGCAATGACATTGATGATAGGAAAAATACATTACATCTATTAGCGTTCCAATTTCCTTCTTATCGTCTTCTGCCTTGGAGAAGTATTGATCAGTCATCATGCTTTTCACGTCTTTCAAGACTTCCATCAGAAGGTCAGCTGTTGCGGTTTTCCACACTTCCTGCCACGCCTAGAAAAATTACCAATATATGGGTATTATTTTCATGTTTTTGTCTCTGGTTTAGATACATAGTAATTTTGTTCAGGCGTCTTCTATCTTAGAACTTCATCAGTGATTAAATGTTTACAAAAACTGTTGTTATTGACATGATCGTAGATCTATTATCATTTAATTTTTGTCGCTCGCGGTTCTAGAATTTACAGGGCTGCGTAAAAACATCTAAACTAGAGACAAAGAACTTAATCTCCATGAACATCAATCCTGGCTGCAATTTTCATATATTAACAATATATATGCAATAATGATGCAACTACATCAACTGTCTTCTTTTGTTTACAATCGTTTAAAATAAACAGACATCCGAGACGAAGATAATGGCAATAATGGTCCTTACTTCTTGTACCAAATTGTACGCCTTTTGCATTTCTTTCTTTTGTTCTTTTATGTCATTAACAGCAGTTGTCATCTGTTGCAAACTATTTCTGGCATCGGCTAGCTTCTCCTTGCATTTTGTGAAGGTTTCATACGCGGCCCAGATGGCAAGTGCTATAAAGGAACATATTCACTTAAAAGTTTTAAAAGATCTTAGTAAAACTCATTTATAAGATTTGAAATATCATATGTATGCCCTTAACAACGCATAAATCAAGGCACCCAGCCCAGTATATTGTATTTTTCTGAGTTATATGCATTTGAAATTGAAAATGCAAAATGAAATTGAAATGTGACGTCAGGCAAGGAATTGGTCCAGACTTTTGCACTGTTTGTGTTCCGTTGTGCTTGGCTGAAGTGTTATGGAGCATCAGTACACGGAAACAGCGATAGAAACAGTCTTGCCAGGAAAGAATATTATAAACAAATAACATAAGCATTGATAATAATAACGGTTTACATCTGACTCTGAGTTCTGTTTGGTGCTTGTTTTCTGAAGGCTACAGGATATGCATCGTTTTCTAAAAAGAACTGAAAGGTGAATTACACACATTGTTGTTKTCTTACCTGCACCGCCAGCTTTCACCAAACCTTTCATTACAGACTTCACTTTATCAATCAATTTAGCTGCACGTTCAAGTTTAGGTGTTGCAAACTTGATTAAGCTTTCCAATTTTGTTGTAACAAACTTTTGTGCTCTGGACATGAATCCCTTTGATAAGACTTTTTTGACCGCCTTTTGAGCAGCTTCACTTACAGGCTTGGTAAACTTTGTTTTGAATCTGTCTGCCAACTAGAATAATGAACACATCATTAGAGAGGATAATAAACAATATGACTGATTAATTCTTGCCTCATATTACCTCTTGAATCTTTTTCCCGACATAACTCTGTTTAATGTGATTTTTCCAAAGGTACTTCATTGTTGGAACAGCAACAGACAGTCCAGAGAAGGACAGTCTCAAGGCTATATCTAAATCGGTGGAAAATCGTGTGTCTACTTCGGTAGCATCAACAACTTCATCTGTTGCATTCATTTTTTCAAAGAATTGCTAGAGAAAGTATAACCAAACGTGAAAAGTCATGACATTAACAAGGGTGGACTAGAAATAGTCTAAATAGTAACGGAGATGAAAATCATATTGACGTTGCACAGCATAGTAACATATATTGTCAATGAAGTTGTTTGATATTGAGAATGAGAAGGGAAAAGCACGACAATTAGGATAAATGTATTTTGTAAACAATTTAGCAATCATTCATAAATGATTTACCGTCATATTGTGATCAAATCCATCAAGGGTAAGTCTCACGCTAGGACCCATGATTCTTAGAACTTGAACTTGCTCATCATTCAAAAGCCGCATGATATCACGGGTCAGTTTGTAGTGGTCAAATGAATCGTTTGCGTAGATCTGRGTTTCTCTTGCTGAAGAGAAAAAATCAAATTGATTTTATATTTGGAGAAGTCATATATTGTCAGACATATACAAAGTGGACACGAGTGACCTGGGAACGAACGTCCTAACGGCTGTGAGAGAAGACTAACACTACTCCTGAAAACAACATTTATTAGAAAACAAACAAAGAGAGAGTTAAGTTCTAATATGATTGGATGAGTCTTGCTTAGCTAAAATTCAAAATCTTCAACAGTAGCATGAGGAACTTTTGAAGATTCGAACGTGCGAAGTTGGAGCAGAGTAGCATATTTTAATGTTCAACGTTTGCATGTTTCCACAAACCCTACCCCGATATAACACTGAAATTAACCTGTCTATTTTTTGTAACTACCATGCATGACCATGGCCATGGCTCGCAATTTTCTAATAATTTTCCAAGCTCTTCTTCMCCTATTCAATGTTTGAGTGGGTTTGAAGCGACATAGAGTGGACACAACTAAAAGGAAATTTAAGCGGAAATTTAAATGATTTTGGTGTTGTTTATCATGAGGACGTAAAGATATTCATCATGGACCAAAAATCTTTAATCAAAGGCCACATGCATCTAATGCGATGTTCATGCGATTTTCACACATACGAAAATTAGACATCACAATTTTGAGCCAATCAGAAAGTTTCTTTCAAATATGAGATCATTTCATTTATAAAAAGGACAAAAAGAACTCAAAGGTTGTCTAAGATATGGCTTTAATAGCCATTAAATGAGCAAATCAAAGCCAAATGAGAGTGAACTGGGAGATCGACCACTTTATTGTGTACTGCTCAGTGCTGTTTGCTTCTTCATGATAACACATTATTATAGCTCATATAGCAGGGACGGCGGAACCGGGGGGACTGGGGGCTGCACCCCCCTCCCCCCAGTATTTTTGAAAATTAAATTTTGTTTCATGATGCAAAGCTGGTTGTATTTTCCATAAAGGTTGTTCATTAACAGTTATATTTACTGCAAAAGGAAAGCTTGATGAATAAAAAAGGATTTCTTATATCAATTAATCTTCTTAGCCCGCCCAAAAACGCTCCACCGCCCCTGATATGTCGTGTTGGTAACTTGTTCGTCAAGTGATATCTCTACAATTTTAGAAAGTGTGAGTTTGATACGTTTATATATAAATTAATTTACGGGAAAAATGATATTAAACATATGACAATTCTTCCTAATGTTGTTCTTAATGCCAAGGTGGTGTAATAAGAACGATATGTAAGACAA